AATAATTACTTGTATTTGGAATGCCGTTTCATCAGAGAATGAGGTTTTTTCCAGTCATCATTGAGATGATGTTTGGCCTATTGTATGTGTTTCTTTTTTTGAACTGCTGTTAACATCGGCATGGCATCTGATCGATTTTTTTACATCCATGCGATTTTAGATGTTTACCTCTCGGTACTCAGATTAGTCACAATTTTTAATAGGGACATAGAAGTTTTACAAAGATATTGACCCATATGTGCAGTAATTTTTCAGGACGTCTATTACCTTTGTGCTGAAATGTTCCTGTTGATTCTAATTTTTTACATTGTATCGAACTGTTGAGATGTGAGTTACACTAGCTATGGCACAGAAACGTTCACCTTCGCGCCAATAATCTTTCTCTAGTTTGAAAGCCTGAGATGAATAATGCAAAAAGACGTGAATTCTGTATTAAGAATGGAAAAAGGTTCGACTTTTTATTCGTCAATCGTCAAATTTTTTTGTCATTGACTGTAAAGTCAATTATATGAATTAGGAACTTTTCATTACTATTTTATATATACATCTCTCATTCTCTTATACAGGATAATTTATTGAATAAATTATTGGAATATTTTATTGAAGATAATATTAGATAGCAGAAAAACAAAGCTGCATTGAAAACGGAAATCGATAACGATAAATCACCATGCATATTTAAATAGGATGATTTTTCTCAAATCGAGTATCAGGTATTATTATCATTTTGTATAAATATTTTTTACGCAAGCTATAAAATAATGCACATGACATTGCCAGTCTCCATGAACACGTATGCAATAAAATAATTATATAAGTGATAGAGAATACACGCACTGTATAGTAAATTTCACAAAGACCGAAAAAGTTCAAGGACTATGCGATTCGAAGATTTAATAATTAGTAGTCAAAGTCACAGCTTACATAAAGGATATTTTGATAAATTATGTCATCCAGACTAAGATAATTAAGATGGTTGGTCTAAAAAAAACTAATTTAAAAAATTTATCGCGATCTTACATATCGATATTCATTTATCTATATCTTTAAAGAACTTGACATATGCATAAAAGTTTATATGCCTTTATTAACATATTCAAATAAAAATTATTTATATACAGCGATCAAACCAAATGATTATATATTAAATGCTATGCCATGTTTTTTAACGATCAAATTGTTGATATCCATGCAATAGTTTTCAAATCAGATCCAATTCGACCCAGTCCTTCTTCGTATTTCCCGCAATGATTTTGTTCAATGTAATTTTTTTTTGATCCATCTGAGCCTTGATCTTATTTTTAGTTCTTTCTTTGGACGCTTGCACATTTTGCAACATTACGTTCCACCATATTCCAAAACCTTAAACAACGTTGATAATATTTCCTATTTCTTTATTAATTACTTGAACATGACGTAGATTTTTTTCATATTCTTCCGCCCAACTTGCATGAATAG